AGGGCCGTTGGCACACAGCGGTACATGCTATGCTTTGAGAACGGAACAGGCTTCCTCGGGAGGTGGGGGCCAATGCTCCCTCTAAGGTGTGGAGTCTTGTGAGCAGAAATTCTACTTTGTGAGCTCCTGGCATTAAAGTTGTGAGCGAGCCATTTGGCCGCTGCCTAAATCAGTTTGCTCCGGAGCCCTCCTTCCTGAGGGAAGACAAAAAATGTGTGAGCCGGAGGCTAAAAAACTGTGAGCTGGCTCACACTCACTCACCTTCCTGAGGGAAGACAAAAATGTGTGAGCCGGAGGCTAAAAAACTGTGAGCTGGCTCACACTCACTCAGGTTAAAGGGAACAATGGTTGGCACACAGCGGTATATGCTACGCTTTGAGAACTGAACAGGCTTCCTCGGGAGGTGGTGGCCTAGATGGCCATCTGACAGGAATGCTGATTCTGTGAATTGAGGCAGAGGGAGACGGAAGGTGTAATGTATTGAAATAGCTTACTTGAATCGCCACATTCACTCCCTATGTTAAGCTTCGAGCCGAAGGCTCCTCAGAACGGACTCACTTGAAATGGTTCTGAAAACCCATATCATAAAACATTGCTAAGTCTCAACTGGATCAGGGTTTTCAGGTAGCAAGGTCATTTAAAAGTTTTTAAGTAGAACATAAAAAAAAAATCTCTACATAATCACTTGTAACAGTTACTCGATTGTATAGTATTCTCAAGCTATATACTTGTATTAATGTTTTTAATGTACAATGTTTCAATTATTCTCCACTATGCTTAATGCAAATTTACTCAAAAATATGTACTTACAAATTACTTACTCTGAAATGTTTGTTACAGAAATTGTTGTATATGTTAATATTCTGAATATATAATTTAAAAAATTTAAATAAATAAATAAAAAGAACGGACTCACTCTTGGCCGCTCCGTAACAGCGACCAATCAGAACTGTGCCAATTCCTGAGAGGGAAAGACTCTCATTGGTTGTTATCTACAAAACCTCATTGGTTGTTAATTGTAAATAGGCGTGGCTACATATGAGCCCGGGAACGTTTAAAAGGAGCCTAGCCACCACCCCCTATAGATGGCTCTATAGGGGGGGGGGGGGCCTGGCTCCCAATGTTAATCTGTTCTGGTTATGACTGAATTCAAGCGTTTGTTCGTATCTTCAATAAAGCTGAACACTTTGGTTGAAATCACTCTCCGGGTCTTTGTTAGCGGCGATCTAACAGAAGGCAGGAAGGGATGAGCCAGTGATTAATTCTCAGGGCCCTTTCTTACATGCCCAGGTTAATGCCAATTGCCAACCTTGGGGTCAGGAAGGAATTTTCCTCCGGCCCAGACTGGCCCAGGGATCCAGGAGGGGTTTTTTTTGCCTTTCTCTGGGCGTAGAGCAGGGGTCACTAGGGGGGGGGGGGGCAGCTGTGAATTTCCTAAATTGTGCAGGGAGTTGGGACTATATGGCCTTTGGGGATCCCTTCCAGCGCTACATTTCTAACCGGCCACTGCCTTTCCCTCGCTCAACCACCCCAAGTGTTCCACCGGCCTGTTCCAAAGCTCTACTCGTCACAGGATGGTTTCAGCACACGCTTACACCCGGAGGTGTGGCAAAATCCTCTGTCCTGTGCAGGGGTCATTTCGTAGAAAAAGAGGTGCAGGAGCTCATTAGCATAACTTATTTGCATACACCACACCCCCTGACATCACCGGAAGTGTGTCAGAAGGCAACACCCACTGCTCAGGTTCCACTGGACTGTTTTGGATTGCTAGCTATTGGGGGGGGGACATGCAGATCTGTCCTCGCAGAGGAGGGAGAGCTTGTACCTGAATAAAACTTGGTCTTAAAGGTGCCACTGGACTGTTTTGGACTGGGGGGGCGGGGGGGAGCTCTGCAGCTTACCTGGCTGCTTCTTGCTCTGCCTGAGGGCTGCTGGGAGCAGGGGGTGGGGCTTGTTGAATGTGCCCGCCCCCTGGGTTCCTTACTGCCGGAGCTCCGCTCCTGTGCGCTCCTGCAGGAAATGACCCCTGGTCCTGTGGCAACTGGGGTTCTGCAGGACCTGTAAAACGGAGCTGTTCCACTGGGCCTTCGGTTGAGGCACCGGACATCCAAAATCTATTGCGGCCTCCCCTGCTGCCAGCGCTGATTTTACTCTAGCTTTGTTATTAAGGCAAGCTCGTGCTGGTTTGCTGCCTGGTCGATTTTAATGTCGATTTTATTGTTAAATGTCTATTGATTGTTGTCATAGTCACATGATCTTCATGCAACTTTGTAACCCGCCCTGAGCCCGCTTGCGGGGAGGGCGGGATCGAAATCAAACCAATAAATAAAATTTGATTTGAGGCGGTGGACGTTCGACCATCCTGGCCTCCCATTCATGGCCCCTTTCCCGGTGCCTGCTGGCAGAGAATATTATTGGGCACCCGAGCACCTGTATTCACCTAATACGAGGCATGGGTTTGATGATATTGTCTACCGTGCCATCAGCTGTTTTATTGCTTTTACTGTTTTATTGTTTTAGTACATGTTGTAAGCCGCCCAGAGCCCACGTGTGGGATAGCGCGGTGTATAAATTGAATGAATAAATAAATATATAAAATAGGGTTGTCAGGCCCGGGTTCAGAAATACCTGGAGATTTGAGGGTGGAGCCTGGGGGAGTGGGGTTTTATAGAATCATAGAATGTTAGAGTTGGAAGGGACCTTGCAGGTCATCTAGTCCAACTCCCTGCACTCTGCAGGAGCGTAGCCGAAAGATAGTCTTACATACCTACAACAGACCCGAAAGATGGTCATCCAGCCTCCGCTTGGAAACATCCAGCGAAGGAGCCTCCACCACCTCCCGAGGCAGACTGTTCCACTGCTCAACCACTCTGACAGCCAGGAAGTTTCTCCTGATATTTAGCTGGTAACGACTCCCTTGTCATTTCCACCCATTAGATCCAGTCTTGCAATCCAGACCCAGAGAGAAGAGATCTGCTCCATCTTCTACATGACAGCCCTTCAGATACTTGAAGACCACAATCGTGTCCCCTCTAAGTCCTCTCTCTCCCAGACAGATCTGGACACGATGCTCCTTTAATGCATCCTAAGACTGCAATCGTGTCCCCTCTAAGCCTTCTCTCTCCCAGGCTAAACAGACCCAACTCTTTCAGCCTTTCCTCATAAGACTTGGATTCCAACCCTCTCACCATCCCGGTTGCCCTCTTCTAGACACGCTCGAGCTTGTCGACATCCTTCCTAAAACATGGTGCCCAAAAGTGGACACAGGACTCCAGGTGAGGCCTGACCATAGCAGAACAGAGCGGAACGACCACCTCCCGTGACCTGGACACAAGGCTTCTGTTCTGTTCATGCATCCTAAGATTGCATTAGCTTTCCTTAGGGAGGGAAGCAGCAGGATACAATATTATTTTATACCCCGCCGTATCCCATTAGTGGGACAGAGTGTGGTATTAAAACAAAGGCATGCAAGTCCACCTTCCAAAGCGGCCATCTTCTCCAAGTGGAATAAATTCCAGATCTTCAGCCCTCCCCTGGAGGTTGGCAACCCCCGGGGCAATGCAGCAAGAGATGTCCCCCCCGTGCCATGTCTTGCCAACCTGCTACAGGGCAGGGCCCACTCCCTCTATTGCTTCCACCCAGCAGCCAGATCACAGCGAATGCTCCTGGCCTTCTCGCCCAGGTGCGTACCACAGAAGAGTGCATTCGAAACTCTGGAGAAGGGGGGGAGGAATGTCGGCTGCTCCGGCTCAGGGGGAGGGGGCTGGTAGGCTGGTGGCTCCTGCACCCCAAATGTGGAATTCACTGCCACAGGAGGTGGTGGCAGCTACAAGCACGGATGGCTTCAAGAGGGAATTCGATAATCAGATGGAGCAGAGGTCCATCAGTGGCTCTTAGCCACAAGGTACAGATAGGAACACTTGGTCTAGGGCAAGGGATGCTCTGTATTCTTGGTGCTTGGGGGGGGTGCTTGGGGGGGGCTTCTAGTGTTCTGGCCCCACTGCTGGACCTCCTGAGAGTACCTGGTATTTTTGGCCACTGTGTGACAGTGTTGGCCTGGATGGGCCATTGGCCTGATCCAACATTGGCTTCTCTTATGTTCTTATAAGAAGGAATTGGATAAACATCTGGAGCAGAGATCCATCAGTGGGTATTAGCCACAAGGTATAGGTAGGAACTCTCAGTCTGGGGCAAGTGAGGCTCTATATTCTTGATGCTGGGGGGGGGCACACTGGGAGGGCTTCTGGAGTTCTGGCCCCACTGCTGGACCTCCTGATGGCACCTGGTATTTTTGGCCACTGTGTGACAGTGTTGGAGTGGATGGGCCATTGGCCTGATCCAATATTGGCTTCTCTGATGTTCTTCTATGGAGCAGAGGTCCATCAGTGGCTATTAGCCACAAGATATAGATAGTCTGGGGGCAAGGGATGATCTGTATTCTGGGTGCTTGGGGGGCAACAGTGGGAGGGCTTCTAGTGTCCTGGCCCCACTGGTGGACCTCCTGATGGCACCTGATATTTTTGGCCATTGTGTGACAGAGTGTTGGACTGGATGGGCCATTGGCCTGATCCAACACTGGCTTCTCTCTTATTTTCTTATATGGAGCAGAGGTCCATCAGTGGCCATTAGCCACAAGGTATAAATAGGAACTCTCAGTCTGGGGCAAGGGATGCTCTCTATTCTTGGTGCCTGGTGGGGGGGGCAACAGTGGGAGGGTTTCTAGTGTCCTGGCTCCACTGCTGGACCTCCTGATGGCACCTGGTATTCTTGGCCACTGCGTGACAGAGTGTTGGACTGGACGGGCCACTGGCCTGATCCAAAACTGGCTTCTCTTATGTTCTGATGCCCCTTGAAAATATTGCAAATAATAAATTGCAACTCCCCAGGAAGACCAGCAGGAGGAGGAAAAAAGTACTCAAAAAGATTGTTTTTATTTCACATTTCTTTTGTCCCCCAGCATAAACTGCTGAGTATGTAAAAGAGAGAAAAAAACGGAAGTGTTCATTTTGATTTTTAGGAGGAGGCAGAATACTTAGGAAAAGCCAGACCAGCGTTTCCCACCCTCTCAACCTAGAGGCCCCTCACCCCCCCCTCGTACAAACAAAACAGAGATTTTAAAAACACAAACCACAACCCTGAGGACGCAAAGACGTCCTCCGCTGCCTCGGCTGTGACAGGGAACTCTATAGGCAAACGATCTCAAATCCTCTTTCCTGTTGGGCTGCTTATTAGGACACACCCGGTCTGGGGGGGAACTCAGAGTTTAAAGGGCAAACGGATGTCAATTTTGGGCAGCGTCTGGAATGCGATTCGACGGATTCTGCTCGATTTGAGAAGCGAGACTGAATGACTGACGCGGGCAGTCCCAAGCCTTAGAATAAAATATATATGTCTCCGCTTTGGGGATCTGAACACCGAAGCCCAGCTCCCCCCTTCTCCCTTGTAGCCATCCACATGGGACTGAGACGTCATCAGCAACTCTAGGTGATCTCCGCCAGGTAGATGCTAGGTTCTTGGACACCACTGAATAGCCTCGACCACCCCATTCCCACCTCGGAGGACGGACAGAGGCGGCAGGGAAGCGGGAAGGTGTTCAAACCAAGTCCTCCTACTTAGTCCCTGGTGTTCTGTCCTGGTGCTGCACACGGGAGAGGAGGGATCTTTTCAACCCCATCAAACTCACCGCGGTCGTGCAGGACCGAGGCGGCTTGTCTCGGCGCCAACCTTCACAGGATGATGGTTGCTCTGGTGCTCCTCCTTACAGACAACTGATGTCAATGCTTCTAGCCCGGCACCTAGCGGATGCGGACTCTAGTGGGTTTGGGAGTCCCTAATCCTTTGAAACGTTGCTTGTAAAAGATGGCGTTCCGCCCACGGCGTTCACGGCGCCAGGGGCAGGAAGACCTAAGATGCTCCGTTTGTTTCCTTCACCTGGAAACGGCGGCACCTGGACCTGACGGGTGCTGGAGCGGACGGTTACCGTGTACGCCCGACCCGGTTTGATCCAGCAGAAAAATTAAGGCAAAGCTGATTGGCGGTTTCTCCCAATCGTGCTTAGGCACACACGCAAGCTTCTTTCTTTAAAGGGAGGCATGTTTGACTGCGAAATCACAACGCCCAGCCTTGAACCGGGTCTTTCAGAGACCCGAAAAGCTCTCCTCCTAAAGGGGTCGTGAGGTCGGCGACCCTTCTAGGAAGCGCCGTTTGGAACTTCCTGCCCCCGTGTGGCCATCTCTCTTCACTCAGCTTGGCAGCTCTGAACCTCGGTATCAGCCACGAAACAGCCCTCAGGTCCTCCAGAGTCATGGGATGAGCAATTCCGAGAAGAGAAAAAGAAAGGGGGAAGGAAAGGGTAGCGACGAACCGATGGGAGAAGACGATCCGTTCTGGGGCGCCGGCCTAGACTCCCGGCTAGCCTTTAAAAGAAAGTCTTTTAAAAAGAAAGGTGGTCATGTAGTAAAGCTACAGATTCAAAACTGAAATCCTCCGGTCGCCTCCAGTCGCCGCTTTCGGTGCGGTCTGCTGTCCACAGGTGGGTAAAGGTCCGGAACTCAAGCGCTGCCACAAAAGGTGGCGATGGACGCTGCAGCTGCCCCTTTGGGCAGCTGCGGCTCACTTCTTCTGGAAAAAGCCCATGATGGACGCCTGCTTGTTGGTCTTGCCTGCCGCAGCCGCCCCCTTCTTGGGGCCTTTCTTGTCCTCTTTGGGCTCTTTCTTGGCAGTCCTGGCGGGGGGCTTGTGGGCCGCGGCGGGCTTGGACCGGAAGTCCTCGTCGCTGTCTGTGCACGACTCGCTCTCGTAGACCTTTTCAGTCACTGGGAACACAAGGGGAGAGTGGCAGAGCCGGTTACAGAAGAAGAAGAAGA